AGCAATCTTGAGAAAGAAGAACAAAGTTGGAGGGATCACAATATCAGATATCAAGCTATACTACAAAGCCACTATAATCAAAACAGCCTGGTACTGGCACAAGGACAGACGTATAGATCAGTGAAATAGAACAGAGACCCCAGAAATCGACCCAGGCCATTACCCTCAATTAATATTTGACAAAGGAGACAAGAGCATACAATGGAGTAAAGACAGTCTCTTAAATAAGTGGTGCTGGGAAAATTGGATAGATACATGCAAAAAAATGAAACTAGACCACCAACTTTCACCAGACACAAAAATAAACTCAAAATGAATAAAAGGCTTAAATGTAAGACGCAACACCATAAAAATCCTAGAAGAAAACAAGGCAGCAAAATCTCAGACATCCCTTGTAGCAATATGTTTGACGATCCATCTCCTAGGGCAAGAGAAACAAAGCAGAAAATAAACAAATGGGAGCATCAATATAAAAAGCTCCTGCACAGCAAAAGGAACCATCAACAGAATGAAAAGGGAGCCCACTGTATGGGAGAACATATTTGCCAATGACACACCTGATAAAGGGTTAATATCCAAAATATATAAGGAACTCATACAACTTAACAAAAGGAAGACAAACAATCCAATTAAAAAATGCACAAAGGACCTGAATAGACATTTCTCCAAAGAGGACATGCAGATGCCAAGAGACATATGAGAAAATGCTCAGTGTCACTAATCATCAGAGAGATGCAAATTAAAACCACAATGAGATATCACCTCACACCTGTCAGAATGTCCACCATCAACAAATCAAAGAACGCCATGTGCTGGCGAGGGTGTGGGGAAAGGGGAACCTGGTGCACTGCTGGTGGGAATGCAGACTGGTGCAGACACTACAAAAAACAGTACGGAGGCTCCTCAAAAAATTAAATATGGAACTGCCATTTGACCCAGTGATCCCACTTCTAGGAATATATCCTAAGAAACCCAAATTACTAATCAGAAAGAATATATGCACCCCTATGTTCATAGCAGCGCAATTTACAATAGCCAATATCTGGGAACAGCCCAAGTGCCCATCAGTAGATGAGTGGATAAAAAGCTGTGGGACATTCACACCATGGAATACTATGCAGCTATAAAAAAAAAAAAAGATGGATCACCCGGCCAGGCATGGCTCAGTGGTTGAGCGTTCGACCTAGGATCCAGCCGATCGGGGTTCGATTCCTGGTCAGGGCACATGCCCAGGTTGTGGGCTCGATCAATGACTCTCTCATCATTGATGTTTCTATCTCTCTCTCCCTCTCCTTTCCTCTCTCTGAAATCAATAAAGATATATTAAAAAAAAAAAAAAAAGATGGATCTCTTATCCTTTGGGACAGTATGGAGGGAACTGGAGAGTATTATGCTAAGCAAATAACCCAGGCAGAGAAAGACAAATATCACATGATCTCACTCATATGTGGAATATAATGAACAAAATAAACTGATGAACAAAATACATCCAGAGACATAGAAGCGTGGAATAGTCTAAGGAATCTCAGAGGGAAGGCAGGGGTGGGGGAGTGGTTGGAGAGAGATTAACCAAGGACTTATATGCATATATGNGTCGACCTCGGATCCAGGACACCGCGGTTCGATTCCTGGTCAGGGCACATGCCCGAGTTGTGATCTCAATCCCCAGTCGGGGGCGTGCAGGAAGCAGCCCATCTGCCGGAGCCCGCCGGCAGAGTCGAATGGTCCTGAGGAAGGGGTGAGGATAAAGAAAAGACAGACACAAAAAAGATGGGATCGGGAGGGCTGCAGCTCGTGACTGCTGCCAGCTGCCAACCCCGAGTTTATTTTTCCAGCTCAATATATACAGGCACTGTTGATTTTGCTGAATAGCACCCCTCCCCACATTCCTACAAGGCCATATGAATGCTCTTTCAGAGTAAACACTCTGCCACCTGCATGAGCTCAGACCTTGGTAACTATCTTTATCTCGGCTTCTAACGGGAACTTTTGGGGAGGATTGAGTCCTTGGCTCCAGAGCCTCAGACTACGTGGACCATGTCCAGACACGTCACCGGCTCCCAACACCGATCAATGACTCTCTCATCATTGATGTTTCTATCTCTCTCTCTCCGTCTTCCTTCCTCTCTCTGAAATCAATAAAGATATATTTAAAAAAAAAAAGAATAC